CCTCACTGCTACAATCAGTCAGGCTCAGATCAGGTCAAAAATCCACTCATTCTACCCATTTCCGTACATCAGATAATGATCAAGCACCTAGTACGTTCTGGGAAGTATTCTAGAAACAGAGGGGGAAGTACCAGCAAGACATGTAATGCCAGTGTACTCATCTTCTGCTTTTCTTTGCACTGGGATGTATGGAGAAAAAGGGGCATTTATTTTTATCTCTTCTAACTTTCTGTGCATGCCCCTTGTCACCCTACTGGGAATTGAGGACACTTAATGGCTAAACAACAGGACCACAGTTTCTTCACAGTTAAAACTCAGGCTCTCTGAATCCTCTCTCTTGCTCAAGATGGATTATGATGTACCTGGGGCTGACTGCAGGAGGCAAGGTGGGGAGGGGCCTTGATGTCGTGGGGCCCCTTCAAGTACCGCTGCTGCTCACCTGTGTGAGTGCACCATAATCTCCTTCCAGAAACTAAATAGGTAAAGAGCAAAACCTCACCCCTGACTCTCCTGTTCAGTTTTCCCTGGGTCTATAGAGCAGCCCACCTCTGTCTGGGACATTGTCTTAGAGAATGGCATCCCTACCCATAGGCTTTTTTGCCAGCTGCTGCTTCCTCTAGTCCCATCTTCTTCAACCTTCCTCTACTGGTGTTTGGATCTGAAATGTCCCCCAAAGGCCCTTGGGTTAAAGACATGGTCCCTAGCCCATAGCACTGTAGGGAGGTTGTTGAACCTTTAAATAATGAGGCCTAGCTGAGGAAGTTGCGTTCTTAGGGCTGTGTCCTTGAACAGGATATTAGTACCTGCCCCTTTTTCTCTCTTTGCTTCCTGAGAGGAGCAGCTTCCTCTGCCATGTGCCGCTGCCATGATACCCTGCTTCATCACTGGCCCCCAAAGAGTTGACTGCCTGGCTGACCATGGCCAGAAACCTCCCAAATTGTGAGCCAACACAAACTTTTCCTCCTTTTAAGTTATCTCAGGTATTTGTTACCATAGTGAGAAGCTGACTGACACATTCACTTTCTTTTCCTCTCTTACCAGAATATCTTCTTGGCCTCCTCCTACTGGATTTGACCTCCTTTTCTCATTTCTCTGGGAATCATAATGGTGAAGTGACTTCCAGGTAAGGTAGACTGATTTATAAATATGTATTTTTAGTGTGTCTCATGCAATATTCAGGCCATATTTATGTATGTATTTGTTGTGCCAGAAGTGGTAGTGTAATGCCAGCAACTTGAGAGGCAGAGGCAGGAGGATCCCAAGTTCAAGGCCAGACTCAGCAACTTAGGAGGACCTTCGGCAGCTTAGCAAGATCTTGCCTCAAAAAAATCAATCAATCAATCAAAAATACTTTTTTGCTTTTGTGAAATTGAAATAGAACTGGTTGTCTTGTATTTTTTTTGTCAATCCTACTATTAGGGAACTTGCCTATAGGGGAGAGGAATGAAAAAAACATAGCCATTAAGTATTTTCAAAATATTTTGCCTGATAGAGAGCCTACCCACTTCTGGCCTCTTGGCTAGACACACTTGTAAGGCTTTAGAAAGAAGGAACTCCTGGATCGGCTGTGCTCAGGTCTTTAGAGGAGCTCATTGTATGGTGTCTGTGAAAGGGGGAGGGAGGCAGGGGCCAAGGGGGGTGGTGAAGGAACCAACTTTGGCTTTCTGCCCTTCCTCCCCTAATCACACCAAGCAGGCTTCGCTGGGATGTGGGTAGCCTCATCCTGCTGGCAAAGCAATTGCTTACCTAGGACTTTTATGAGGACATTTTTACTGAGCTGTAATTGAAAAGAAAAAAAAAAAAAAAAGCTCCAAGACATTCCAGATTTTTCTCATAAGCCTACCTTAGGCATGTGTGTGTATTTGTGTGTGCGTGTGCACTTATGCATGTGTGTGTGTGTGTGTGTTTGAAAGCTTGTATACTTTGGCAGGACCACACCAGGGTTTTCGTGGAAAAAGTGAGGAGGTTTTTGTGTAAGGACCAGGATAAAGATCAGCTGGGCGTCTGGAGTGCCTGTAAGACCCTTTTCATTAAAGCAAATATTCTAGTAGTTGGAGAATCAGGGTTTTATGGAAGAAGGCTGCATTTGTCATTATAGCCTAATATCCTAATTTAAGTTTACAGCCATATTTAAGAAATCTGTGACAGAATAGAGTCGGTTCTGTATGTAAAACTGCTTGGCAAAAGTTTATAAATCATGTACATATATTTAAAAGAATGTGAAAGTAAATCCAGATGATGACCTTTCGGAAAAAGGCTGATTGCAATTGCCCTGTTGTGCCCTACTGCTGTTCTGAGGAGTGGCAGGGAAAGCTTGTGCCTGTTTGGGGGCCTGTGTGACCAGCTTTTCTTCCCCTGACTCAGGACAGATGGAGATACAGATTCTCCTTTCAAGTCCTTGTTGCCTTGGCAGGAAGAAAACCACTCAAGCTTTTATTAAGCATCTACTATGTGCCAGGCACTGGGCTGCTTCCTCATTGCCATTCTCACAGCAGACCTGAATGATGCCGTTAGTCCTTTCTGTTTTGACCCTTGAGGAACTTGAGTTTCAGGAGAGTTAAAAATCTGTGCAGGTTCCTGCACCTGGTTAAAGGGTGGAGTTGGGACGAAAAACCTGCATCCCTGTGTGCAGGGCTCCTTCTCTTCGTGCTGCTTTATTCCACCCCAGGGAGCAGCTCAGCTCTGTGGTGCTAATGGTGGTGGTGGTATCTTGGTGTTCAGTACATAAGCATCTCTTTGGCTAGAGACATTGCTACTTCTCTGGAGGGACAAAGCTGGATCAAGAATGAGAAAGGCCATACCGTGTATCCTTGTGTGGTGGCCATCTCTGGGACTAGACTGAATCTCCTGACCCATTGTCCTCCAAAAGGTACTCACTCTTGTGACATGATGACTGTGGTCTGATCTGAAGTTCAAGGTGAGAATGGATGAGGTTCTTTCAGGTGCTGAAAGATAGACTCCCACTCATGGACTTGAGAGATTCATTGTAAGAACCTCATTTGAGGAAAACAAATACTGTCCCAGAGAATGGGAATGTCTGCAGGAGATTTGGTGACTGTGGTGACCAGGTTAATGTGGGTTCTCAGTTGCAGGGTGCTGCACATTCTGGGGCTCTGGCTTTGGGGACACTCAGCTCCTCTCTGCTTTGCTTCTGATATTGCTATTTTCACCCCCTGACTCCCTCTGGTTGTCCACTTGTGACTTCTGCTGCCCCGTGGCCCCTGCTTCCCCACTTGACTCCGGGTACCTTCCTCCATCCTGCTTCCTCTGACTCTGTATTCACATTCTCCAAGGCCCTCACTGGGCCAGGATTCCCTCCCATGAAAGAGCCCCCACCCCACTGCAGCCCATGCATCAGATGACCTCACTGGCCTCTGCTTTCGGTGGGTCTGGAGACAGAACAGTGAAGACCACACTTGGTGACAAGTAACTTAGACTTGGAAAATAGCAACCTAAATGAGATAGTTTTTTTCCTTTCATGTAAAAATGTGGCTGCTTAAGCTGCTCAGGACAAGCAGGGAGCCCCACAATCTCATTCAGGCTCCAGGTAGCACCAGAGAGGCAGGGCCCAAAGGACACGTGGCTCCTTTGTAGAGAGGCTTCTCAAGTTCCATGCAGGAATTCCACTTCCATCTTAATATTCAAAAGGTAGTCACTTGGCCACATTTACCTTCAACGGGGGTCAGCTGGGTGGCAATGTACCCAGCTAACAATTGAGGTTCTTCACCAGAGTCAAAGGGGAGGATGGATATTGGGAGGCAAGTAGCTGCTGACAAAGATTTTCTGCTTAAAACCAAACCCTAGCCAATTCTACACTTTCTCCTAGGCCCATCTGTGCACTTGTTGGTAAAATCCAGTTTTAGCAAAGACTCTGCTATGTCAGTTTGGCAAGGCCTCCTCCCCACACATGATATCTGATCACACTCAATATCCCATCAGGCTCCTCATCCTCCACCATCTCCAAGGTGATGTCTGATCAACTTGACCTGTCTTCAGCAAGGATCCTGTTAGGTCAGCTTAGCCAGAATCCCCCTTACCGCTGATGCGTCTTTCTTAAGAACTTTCCATGTACTCTCCCCTACCCTGCCCCTTGGGTATAAATTCCCACTGCCCATGCTATATTCAGAGTTGAGCTCAATCTCTATCTCCTGCTACAAAATCCTATTGCAGTGATCCTGAATAAAATCTTCTTTACAGTCTTTTAACAAGTGGGGCGTGTGTTAAAGGCTTGGTCCCCAGGGTGGCAATAAAGGGAGATGATGGAACCCTTAGAAGGTGGGGCCTAGTGAGGCACTGTGGCGCATGCTTGTAATCCCAATAGCTCAGGAAGCTGAGGCAGGAGGATTGTGAGTTCAAAGCCAGCCTCAGCAACCAAGAGAGGCCCTAACAACTCAGGGAGACCCTGTCTCAAAATAAAATACAAAAAAGGGCTGGGGATGTGGCTCAATGGTTAAGTGCCCCTGGGTTCAATTCTCAGTACCAAAAAATAAAAATAAAAAATGCGTAGGGAGATTCTGGCCCCTTCCTCTTCCCTCTTTTGCTTTCTAGCCATGAAATATGCAGTTTTGCTCTGCCACAAGGTCCCCACCATTGCCTTCCAGCGCCCTCCCCAGAGGCCAAAAAGCAATAGGTCCACCTGATTATGGGCTGGACCCTCTAAAACTGTGAACCAAAACAAATCTTTTCTCTTTCTAAGTTGATTATCTCAGGTATTTGTTATAGTAACAGAAAACAGAATAACACAGTGCCCATCCTGATGCAGGTCCAAATGGTAGAGAATTGGTGACACCAGGAATCCCTCAGAAATTGGTGCTGGTGTCATGGGTGCTTTGTATGGACTGTATAGACGGCTTATTTATATCTTTTTTTTTTTTAATAAAGAGAGAGGAGAGGGGGAGAGAGAGAGAGAGAGAATTTATTTATTTATTTATTTTAGTTTTCGGAGGACACAACATCTTTGTTGGTATGTGGTGCTGAGGATCGAACCCGGGCCACACGCATGCCAGGCGAGCGCGCTACCACTTGAGCCACATCCCCAGCCCCAGCTTATTTATATCTATGTGGCATGGTTTAAAAGGAATCAGAAGAGCCCCTCGGTAGTCCTACCTGCAAATCCACCATCCAAGTGACACAATGCCTTTCCCAGCACTCTTTTTACACTTTACACCTGATCCTGGAAAAATTGTTGTACTTGTGTGTATTTTCTCATTTCTGCTTTATCAGCAACCCTCCTCGCCAATTACTCCCAAAGTCAATGTCACTAAACTGGAGCCCCAGAAAGCTGGTCTGACAGGCAGGGTTGCAGTTGTGGGTCACAGGAGCCCCGTCACATGCTCAGAAGGTACAAGGGCAGGGCCAAAATACTGGCACAGGTCTGTGAAAGAATGGGGTTTGTGGGAGAGGGGCAGGTGGAGGGCTGACGGAAGGCTCCGTAGCAGCTAGGTGCAGGGAATCCCAGGGGACGGGTAATGCTAGTAGCTCCCAGGGAGAGGGAACCCGCTGACCCGGCCTCAGATGGCTGAGGAAGCCTGGATGAGCACAGCAAAGCAGAAACCAGGAGGAATGATCCGAGCAGAGCAGAGGAGGTTAGGATATGGGTAGCTGGGTCTGCTTGCCTGGTCAGTCCCCTGGGTAAGTAGGGAGGAGGTGGGATATTTCTCCTCAAGGAGTCTTCAAACCAAGGTTTCCCAGGTCCTGGCTGTGGAATCCATTCTGTAGAGGAAACAGCTGTCAAAGCAGGCTGTGAGCTAGTGGCCAGCAGACCCCCAGGAGTCCTTACCATGGCTAGGCAGTCTGGGATCCCTGAGCAAGGGTCTACAGGCCTGGAGGAAGGTAGGTGGCTGAGGTTTAGGACAGAGCCAGGGGTGGGGCTGAGAGGGGGTAGAGGTTCCCATCTGGGCAGTCTCTCTACCAGTCTTAGTCTGTTTTCTTTTGCTAATAACACAACACCATAGACTGAGTATGTGAAAAAGAAAAGAGGTTTGTTTTGGCTCACAGTCCTGGTCCAAGGTCGAGAGACTACATCTAGTCATGGCCTTCTTGCTAGCAGAGTCCTGAGGTGGTACAGGACATCAAACGCAGAGACACAGGAAGCACACATGTCCTGTTCTTTTCCTCATCTTATTAAGCCACCAGTACTGAATTATGAGGCACCACCTGATGACTTACCTGATCCTAATCACCTTCCAAAGCCCCAGCTCTAAACACCATTGTCAGATTTAATTTTTAGTCTCTTAATACCTCGTAATAGGGATTACACTCCAACATGAGTTTTGGAGGGACAAACCATAATCAAGTCATAGTGCCACCTTGCCCACCTCAAGGCCTTTGTCATCTATACTGCTTGGGTTCCTATCTCTATTTTTTTTTAATTTTAGTTGTCAATGGACCTTTATTTTTACTTATTTACTTATATGTGCTGCTGAGAATCGAACCCAGAACTTCACATGTGCTAGGCAAGTGCTCTACCACTGAGCCACAACCCCAGCCCCCTCAATCTCTTCTGGTCCCCCATAGGACTCTGAGTAAATACAGGACCCTGTTGCCACCTGTTTCACTCTGTAGATGTGAGACCTCATCTTCATGTACCTGGCATGGGAGTGGATGGATGTGACTTCTCTGTCCTTCCATGGTTCACACATTTCTCCAGAGGCTAACACCAGTCAGAAGCCAGTGTTGCTGGTCCTACTAGGCTCTGCCCTGTGCTGGTTATCTACTGATACATAACAAACTACCCCAAGATATAGTGACTCAGACAAGGGCATTTTCTTATCTCATTTGTGGGTTGTAATTCAGGCAGGCAGAGATGCATGATTCATCTCTACCACATGGCATGACAGAGGTCACTCTGTGGTATTAGCTGGCAGATGTGTTCTGGAAGGTCCATGAAGGTACAACTCAAATTGTCTGAGCTCAGCTGGGATTGTTGACTAATGTGTCTTCTTGGTAACTGCTGCAGCATGTGATCTTGGGGTGATCAAACTTCTTGCTTAGTGGCTTGGGGTTCCCAGAGAGAGTATCCCAAGTGACCCAGGCAGAAGTTGCAAGTTATCTCATAATCCAGCCTCTGAAGCCACAGCATGTCATTTCTGCATTTTCTTAGCATGTATATCACCAAGGCCAACTCAGAGTGAAGACTCAAGACATTCTTAAGGACAGGCTTGCTGGCCTAGTTGGTGAGCTGTGAGCTGTGAGCTAAGAGGTCTGGAGAGAGTTTACTTTGGCTGTTTGAATCTGAGTTTTCTTAATGTATAAAATGGGGATAACAACAGTATTTACCTCTTATAGTTTATAAGAGTTAAAATACATGATATTTTATTTGTATTTATTTCAGTGCCTTTTGTGAAAAGCTTGTTCATGGTCACTAGCATCTAGAGTTTCCTTTTCTTTCTGAGGGTCATTCCTAGACCATTTCCCATCCTCTCCTAAAATTAGTTGTGACCATGTGACTGTGTTATGCCCCTTGGAACTTGAAGGGAAGTGATATAGCTGCTCTCTACATCCTCCATGTTTATTCTCCTGTCCCTCCATCCACATGTGTTGTGAATGTGAAAAATAAAACTTTGTTGAGTTTAGGCCACTGAGGCTTTTTTTTTGCCAGAGCCATTAGCTTAGTCCTGGCATATAATAAGCTCTCAATTAATATTAGCAGTTAAACTGGCCTAATCTCTCTGCACCTGTGTTCTTGTCTCTAGAACAGTGATAATAGGACCTACCCACAGGGTTGTAAGGGGTAAAAGAAATGATGGATTATTTAACTTACTGGCTTAACTTCTCTTCAACCACAGTTATTTCATCTAAATATTATAAACTGGGTCTTCATTACCTTTTTTCTTAAAGCAAGATTATCCATAATAAAGCCTCTTGCAGGTTTTAAAAGGATAACTTATAAATTTGAAGTATTTTAGGCCTGAAGCCAGTAATAATTATAGTTTTAATTCAGAATACTTCCAAAAATCCATTTGACTTAATGGGTTTCAAGACCTAAATATATAGAGAGGGATGTTTCTAATTTGGAAGTTAGTTGATTTGTTTATTTTTAATTTTTAAAATTATGGAATACTTTAAGAATATAAAAAAGAAACCAGGCATGGTGGCACACACCTGTGTAATCCCAGCTACTCGGGAGACTGAGGCAGAAAGATTGCAAGTTCAAGGCCAGCCTAGGAAACTTAGTGAGACCCAGTCTCAAAATAAAAATAAAAAGGACTAGGGATATGTAGCTCAGTAGAATAACATCCCTGGGTTCAATTTCCCAGTAGTACCAAAGGAAAAAGAAATACAAAAAGTATTTCAACAGACATCTGTACTCCCCCAACTCAGTATGATCAAATCTTAACACTTTGTTATATTTGATCCATGTTTTTTTCTGAAGAAATAAATATAGAAAAGAAAGTGTGCCTTTAAAGCATTTAGTGCAGTACCTCATTATAAAAGTGTCAGCAAGTCATTTCATTTTTTAAAATTTTAAATAAAATTTTTAAAAATTTTAAAACATTTTTAGATTTACAGCAGACTTGTAAAGATAGCAGAGACATTTCTTGTACATCATCCCCCAGCTTCTTACATAACTATGTTGTATTTCTCAAAGAAATTAACATTGGTATAACACTATAAAAGCACAAACTTTATTCTGATTTCAGCAGTTTTCCCACTTATTTCTTTTTTTCTGTTGCAGGATTCAATCCAGGATTCTATGTTGCATTTAGGCCAGCAAATGTTTAGCTATTCATCCCTTCATTCACCATGTTGAGAACACAGCCAACTTTTTGTCCCAGACGGGGTGGTTCTGGGTAACAGATGATGCCAGGAGCCTCTGTACTATGTGCTATAATTATCATCAAAGCTATCATTTTTTTAATATGTTTTTTTCCTTTCTTTTTGTGGTGCTGGAGATGGAACCTAGGGTCTCTCACATGTTAAGCACATGCTCTACCACTGAGTTAACCCCCAGCTATCATTTTTGAGAACTTATCAAGATATTGTGCAAAGTACTTTCTATAAGCCCTGTTCATTGCTAACAACAATCCTATGTAGTGATTAGATTTTTTAAAAGATTTTTTTAAAGATGGACACAATATCTTGACTTTATTTTATTTATTTTTATGTGGTGCTGAGGATCGAACCCAGTGCTTCGCCCATGTGAGGCAAGCAATCTACCACTGAGCTCTGACTGCAGCCCTATATAGTAATTATTAATCCCATGTTATGGTTAGAGAATTGACCTATGAAGAGATTAACTGAGGTCACATATCTGTTGAAGGGCAGAAGTAGGATTTGAACCTAGGGAATCCGACTCCAAAGTCATGCTTTTATATACCACTTCTATCACAAGGTGCTCTAGAGAAGAGGGAGAGTGGCCATTGTCACAGACTTTTCCAGTGAGTGTGGCAGGCAGGAAGACATCCATGGGAGGTGCCCTCCTGGGAAATGTTTGACTTTGCCGCCACCTGCCTCCTTCCTCATGGCTTCCTTCCCTTCTCCCCTGCAGCCCCAGACTCCAAGCCCAACCCACAGAGCCTCAAGGAGGTGATGTGCTGAAACCCAGGCCCAGGGCCCAAGATGAGGCTCTGTCCTCGCCTCTAGACACCCCACCCCAGCCAGCAGAACAGGATGATGATTTAGAGACTGCCTTCTGGAGCCACTATTTTGGGTCCTGCTGACGGTGCATGAGCAAGAAATAGCAACAGGACTGAGTTGTCAGGCAGGGGAATCGGGGCTGGGTGGGTTGGGCTGTTGAGCTGGGACTAGTTTCGTTTTTTTCTGGAGAATTATAGGCCCCACCAACCTAAGGACATTTTAAGAATCATTTCCCATCCCTAGACTGGAGAAGAGCCCTGTCTGGTTGGGGCTGGACCCTGTGACTCTGCTCAGCACAGTGACACCAGCCCTTCTGCTGTCCTCCAGCTGGACACTTATACCCTCTGGAAAAGGAGCAGAGAGCACCTGAGGCAGTCCACAGCCAGCTGATATTTGGACTAAGTATCACGGAGAAGTGAGCAAAAGAGATGGATGGGCAGTACTTGCCCTGAGCCAGGGTCCAGAGGTCCTGGAGCCAGGAAAAAGCCTTCCAGTCCTGCCTCATTCCCCTGAGCCTCAGTTTGTTGGTCTGTAAAATGGAGGTATACATGATATACATCTCTCCCAACCAAGGTAGTACACATTTATGTATGTAGATTAAGTATTTAAAATGGATGAATAGAAGCTAAAACTCAGCCAGAGGTTGACTCACTCAGTTGGGCACCCTGACTTGGGGCTCTGTCTTATTGGGAGAAGGAAACACATTTTTCTTCACCAAGCTGGTTGCTCAGAAGTGCTTCTGCCTGACTTTGGTTTATTCAGAGAGGACATCTTTTCTAAATTTGCACAAAGGAAAAGTACTTGCCCTCCAGTAGATGTCAGAAAAGGGAGAAAGCCCCTTAGTCCCCTAGGAGAGGACAGAGTTGGCCTCAGAGAGCCTTGGTGGGGAGTGAGGGGGAGGATCAAAGGGGCCACAAGAGTGATAAAATATGCTGGGAACAGGGTGTCCTGTTGAGATACTGCATGCAGGAAGAAGTGGGAGCAGAGGCGGTACCTTCCTAACAGTCCTAGGGCCTGTTAGGATCCACTTCCCTTCATGGCCTCCGGAGAGATGGACAAGTGGCTACGACTGCTCATTCAGGGATCCACAGAGCCATACTTGAATGTAAAATCACAGCCAGAGGGTGTGGGAACCATAGGACCATCGAGCTTAGGGAAGACACCAGGCAATTTTCATTTGGAGTGACAGGTGATGTGATAAGGGATAGATAGGCATTTTGGTAACCCACAGAGGGGCTACCAAGCTTGAGGGTGTTGGGAGGGATTCCCAGAAGTGACATCCAAAGTGTGACCTCAAGGAGAAACTGGAGTTAGCCCAGTAAAACAGGGCAAGGGTGGTGCACTGAGGTGGTGCAACCAAGGTAAGAGAGGGAGGTGCATTCTGGGAACTTTACTGTTTCTTATTTGAGTAGTATGTATAGGAACAGAGTTTCAACATGGTGGAGACATAAGAAGGTCTCAGGTGATGAAGCGCCTTTATAATCTGTCAAGTGTTTGTACATTGGGAGTTTTTTAAGTGGAAGGATCATGTGATCAGGTTTTTATTTCAGTTAGATGTCTGCCTTGGAGGGGCAGGGCTGGAGCCAGAGAGACCCCTGCAGGGTGAAGCTGGAACTCTGGTGGTCACCAGGAAGATGGAGCTAAGTGGCGAATCCAGGGAGCATTTAGAAGTCCAGGATGACACTTGTCACCTATTTGGCTATAAGAACCTTTCACTGAATTAGGAACCTAGGAAGAGGTGTGGGTCTGGGTGCATGGTGATGGAAAGCCAGCTGAGTTGAAAGTTCAGTTGTAATATTGAGATGTGGGTGGTCATTGGGATGCAGAGGTTTTGAGCTCAGGAAAAAGAACTGGGCCATATATATCTGGAATCAGTTGTCTAGAGATACTCTATGACTTATGACTGAGGTCATAAGAGCAGAGGATCCCCCAGGAGAGTGGAAACACCAAGGGAGACAAGAGGCAGAGAATAGCACCTTGAGAAACCTTGACAATCGAGGGTCAGCCAGAACAGGCAAGGGATAAATAAGAGCAACCAGAGAGGAAAAAGCAAAGCCAGCCTATTTAAACCTCCTAAGTATCTGAGCATGTATCATTTGTAAGTGGGAGCTGGAGAGGGGCTTTCCATACCGCTTTATTTTATTGTAGCATGAGAACTAATAAATTCAGAGCTAAATGTTTTGTTCCATCATACAACTGTTCTTCACCTAGAATTTCTGGAGTGTCTCCTCCCTAACCTCATCTTCCTTCTCTTGTTTAATGTCTTCATTTTGAGGTATCTGTAATGCTAAGCAGTCCTTTTTAAAGTGGAGTGTAATTGACTTGGTTCCAAAAGATGCTGTTTGTGCTCAGCAAGTGTTGAGGGATTTTTGTTTTGTTTTGTTTTGTGGTGCGGGTGATCTAGCCCAGGGCCTTGCACGTTCTAGACAAATGCTATACCACTGAGCTATATTACCAGCCCTAACAGCACATTTCTATTATTGGCTTCGGGTAGGGTGGGCCAACAGGACACAAGGAACATGTGAACACATGGAACTTTGATCTTGATCAGACAACACAACCCTAGGGTGAGGGTATGAGAAGGACAAGATAGGAAGAAGTTATCTAAGCCTCAGCACTTGTACCCTGACTCCTCTGTATTGCACCCAGGGCCAACATCACCAACCAGTCCTCACCTGCCCTCCTTCCTCATTAAGCCTTGGCATGGACTCTCACTCTTTTCTTCTCCAGGCTGCCATCATGCTGATTCACAGTTGGCAAGCTCTCTGGAACCTCCTGGCCCTTGCAGAGTAAGCCATTTTCTCGAAAATCACCAGAAGGTCTCTTATCTTTATTATGATGAACCTTTTATTATAGAGACAGACTGAATTCTCTTTTGCATAAAGAATCTCTGATTGGGTTGGGGAAATCCACCTGCTAAAGGTCACCACCCAGCTCTCCCTGCCCCTGCCTCAGCTAAGCCCCCACTTGCTGTTTACATCTCAGGGTCTCTGGAAACAGCAGAGGCTGCCGTCCCCAGGTCTAGGCTAGTCAGGTTGGGCTATGCTGGATGGAGAGCCAGGGCTCTGGGCCGCTTGTCAGGTCATTAGCCGCCCCGTCTCCCGTCCTAGCCGGTTGTCCAGAACCTGGAGCTGCCGGAGGAAGCCTGAATTGGGGCAAATATCTCGGTGGGCCTGCACCGTCTGGATGGCCTCTACCAGTGTCATGTTCTCGTAGATCATGAGGAAGGCCAGGACAAGTGTGGCAGAGCGGCTTACCCCCATGGCACAGTGTACCAGCACGCGGCCTGTGGGGAGACCCAACCCAGGTGTCAGATGCCTATCCCTGAATCGCCTACCCCTTTAGAGAGAAGACACCCCTCGCCATCCTTTCAGCCCACCATCACAGCAGCTGGGACCCCTGTACGATGGGACAACTGAGGTCCAACAAGGGAAGAAGGCTGGCTCAAAGTCAAATAGCAAGTCATGGCAGAGTTAAGGTTGGCAGCCGGGACTCCCTTCTGACCCAGAGTGCTTCCTCTGACATCTTTGCAACTCAGGTGGAGGTGGAGGTTCCTGGACTCCTGGGGTCCCCTGAATTTGTGTCAGATTACAGGGGATGTCTACTTCCCCTCCCCCACACGCACCACAGTTCTGCCCTCTCACCTGCCCCTGCAGCTCTATGCCAAAGCCTCATCTTAGAGAGGCCTGCTCAAGAACCTTTATAGGTCTTGTGCCTTCTGCCTAATGTCTGGTCTCTTCCTGAGGCATGTGGTTATGCTGATAACCACAGCAGATTTTAGTTATGTCTGACACTGTTCCAGGGTGTCTCTGAAGGGGACACTAAATGGTAGTAGCTATTTGCTTCATAGTGTAGGAGGATTGGTGATGGGGTTTGTGCTCCCCACCCATCAGTGCTAACCTCCAACCCCACCCAACTCCTTCCCCAGAAGCTCACCTCGGGGAGTATTGAGGGCAGTTCGGATATATTGAGCAACAGGCAGAAAGTAGACACTGAGGTCAAAGAAGGGGTTATCATCAGCCTCGATGCCATAGTACTCCAAGGGCATTCCGTGGTAGAACTTGGCACCTGTGTCCACTTGAAACTTGCCTGCAGCAACATTCACAACATGGGTGATACCCATCTGGATCAGTTGGCTCTTGTCCCGGGCAGCATACCTGGAGGGGGTATAAGCAGGTAGATCTCACTGGGTGAAACTTGCCCTTCACTTGCTGTTTTCCTCCAAGGATAGAGATGGGAACTGGTGAACTGCCCTAGTAGAGGGACATCTATAGTTGAAATTGAAGACTCTCTTTCATTCAGGGTAACTTTTTAAAAAAATATTTGTAGTTAAGATGGATAGAATACCTTTATTTATTTATTTATATGTGGCGCTGAGGATCAAATCCAGTGCCTCACGTGCTAGGCAAGTGCTCTACCACTGAGCCATAATCCCAGCCCCCAGGGTAACTTTTCTGAAGGGCAATGGGCTACACACATCAAAAGCCTTAGAAATGTGCTGAGCGCAGTGGCACACACCTGTAATCCCAGCTGCTTGGGAGGCTGAGGCAGGAGGATAGCAAGTTTAAAGTCAGCCTCAGCAAAAGTGAGGCAGGTGCTAAGCAACTCAGTGAGACCCTGTCTCTAAATAAAATACAAAATAGGGCTGGGGAGGTGACTCAGTGGTCTAGTATCCCTGAGTTCAATCCCCACCCAACCCCCCAAAAAGCTTTAGAAATGCACATATACTTGTCCCTAGAAATTCTCCTTCTAGTCAGGTAATAAAAGGAAGAATTCAGAAAGTGCCCACAAATATATGTAAACTGAATCTAGGGATATTTAAGATAGTGAAAAATTAAGGAAAAAAAACTACTGAGAATCCTATAATAGGATATTAAGTTCTCTCTTATCTGAAGTTTTGCTTCACACAGTTTCATTTGCCCACAGTCAACCATGGTCCAAAAACATTAAATGGTCAATTCCAGAAATAAACAATTCATAAATTTTAAATTTTGCATTGTTCCGAGGAGTGAATGAAATCTTGCACTATCCTGCCCAGGATGTGAATCATTCTTTTGTCCAGTGTATCCACAGTGTATATGCTATCCACCCCTTGTCACCACATAGTTATCTGGGCAATTAGATTGACTGTCATTCTATTGTACTTATATTCATGAACCTTTACTTTAGTTAATATAGTAACTCTCCTATTTTGTTTTAGTTGTTACTCTCTTACTGTTCCTAATTTATAAATGAAACTTTCCATAGATATATATGAATAGGTTAAAAAAAACAGAAGATACATAGGGTTTGGTACTATCTTCAGTTTCATATCCACTGGGGGTCTTGGTACATATCCCCCACCACAGAAAAAGGGGACTACTGTGTATCTAAATGATGAAATGCTATACAACCACTAAACTGTGGTAGATGCAGGCAAATAAGGAAAGGTGTTTATGCTATATCAAGAACCTGTGGGGCTGTGTTGTGGCTCAGTGGTAGAGTGTGTGTCTAGCATGTATGAGGCCCTGGGTATTGTGTACAACTACAACTAAAAAAATAAATACATATAAAAAAAGAACCTGTGAAAGTACAGAGTACAAAGCAGAATGTTAACATTTTTTAAAAATATGTACTATCATTTCATTTTAAAAGCTTTCTGTATAAAGCAGATCACAGAACTATATTATAAAGCAATAGCCATTTATATAAAAAAAGAACTATGAAAAAGAATGTATATGTGTTTGCATTTTTTTTAAGATTCTTTTTTTTGTGTGTGTGTGTGTTTGCATTTGTAAAGCCTATAAGAATTATATCTGTGTGGGAGAAGGAATACCATATTTGCCATATTGTTAACAAGATATTAATCTGTATTTTCCAAATATTAAGGAAAATTTCTAAATATAAATATTTGGTCCATATTTTTGAAAAAAAACATTTTGTTTTGGTACTGGAGATTGAACCCAGGAGTACTTAATCTCTGAGCCACATCCCCAGCCCTTTTTAATATTTTATTTGGAGACAAGTTCTCACTGAGTTGCTAAGTGTTTTTCTAATATGCTGAGGCTGGCTTGAACTTCCAGTCCTCCTGTCTCGGCTTCCTGAGCTGCTGAGATTACAGGTGTACATCACTGCACCTGGCCATATTTTCAAATATTTCAGAAAACTTTTAGGAAAAATAACTCTCAGTTCTATTCTCTTATATACAATTTAGAGAAAGTTATGTGTTTTTCTAGGATTCATGTTAGTTAAATATTCCTAGGATCATTGTTCATAATTGCCAAAAAGTGGAAATAATTCAAATGTCCACATACAATATAATGGACAAATTGTGTTATAATCATACAGTGGAATACTGCACAGCAATAAAAAAATAAATGAACTGCAGCTACCCATAAAACATGAGTGTCTCTCACAATTTTAAGCAAATCATTGCCAACCACAGAATACACACAATATGATTTGTGTAACTTTAAAAGACAGGCACGGGACTGGGGTTGTGGCTCAGTGGTGGAGCGCTTGCCTAGCACAAGCGAGGCCCTGGGTTCAATCCTCAGCACCACATAAAAATAAATAAGTAAAATAAAGGTATTTTGTCCAACTACAACTAAAAAATAATTTTTAAAAAAAGACAGGCAAAAGACAAACCCATGTTGTTTAGGTACATAGGTGGTAAAACTTGAAAGAAAAACAAGGACATGATGATTTTGACACTTAAAGAGTGGTTATCCCCTGGGAAAGAGAAAAGTTAGAAGGATTCAGTAGGGGCATCTGGGGCACAAGAAATGTCCAATTTCTTGGACATGCATATTCTGTGCACTTTTCTTATGTGAGTTCTATTTCCACAGTTAAGAGTTATAATAATTTAAGAGGAAAGAAAAACATGTAAAGAGATATGGTGGAAAGCAGAGGGTGCCACCTCTGCCCAGAAGCACTCTGGGAGAGGTTTGTTTTCCATTCCTAGGTGGACTTCACACCCTTCTGCCACCTCCACCAGCTATGTAGGTCTTACTCACGCATCTCCCAAGAAGAGGTTGGGCCAGACCTCATTGATATGGTTCAACATGGTGGCCCGACGGACCCACAGCAGGCGCTGCAGCGAGGCCAGCGTGGGTGGCGAATAGGGAGATGCCCGGACTGCCCCGTGGATCTTGGGCCTCCGGAGATCCTGCTTCTGCAGTGAGTTCATCCTGAAATAGAGTAGACACCTCAGTGCTGGAGACAGGCTCCCCAAGGTGGGTCCTGCAGACAGGGAGTTCTGTGGTGCAGGCCAGGTGCCTTTGGGATGCTGTGGGAAGGGCCTCCGCTGTTTGGAATGAGCTTATTAACCAGCTCAGCTGGGCTGGGACCTAGACCCTTCTCCCCCAGGAACAAGGAGAACTAGAACTTCCTGATCATTGCTGGGCAGACCTCACCCCTGCCCTTTTCTGAGGCTGTTGGATGTTAGAAGCTTCAGCCTTTGGGCCTTCAGGTTCCCTTTTTATGACACTAGCCAGTGTCAGTCCCACCCCCTTAAATGTCTTGTCAGTTTGTACCTTGTAGGAATGGGAACTCCAGAAGGCTACGGTTTTCAGAGGGCACCCAACCTGGGTGGCTCATCTCAAGCCCCCACCCCTGAACTTCCAGGGCTGATCCCACTTGGAGGTCCTTGAGATCAGAGTCCCCCTCCAATATGAGAGTCAGGGGCTGTGGACTGATATTCATGGGCATTTCCATATTGAATGCCTCTTCTAAGTCTAATGCCTCCCTTATGGTAGGTCCCTATTTCACCTAGAAGGACGCAGAAGCTCAGAGTGTTTTTCTAAGTGGCACCCAACGCTATATGGCTGATGAGCAGCTGGGCAGGGGTTTCAGTCCAGTTCTGTGCACCTTTGGTTCCACCCCCAAGCCTTTCAGTTGCCATCTTGGGGGATTCCAGAGCGGTCACTAACCCAATGGTCTCCTCAGAGGAGCCTGGGTGTCGCTGAGCTACACATCTGCCTCCAGGCACCGGGCTTTTCCTCCTTACCCCCATGACTCAGGCCAGTGCAGCTCGGCAGGCCTCACCCGAGTGGGGTGGGCTGTGTCAGGAGTCAGCTGGCTCAGGGTGTCTGGGACCCTGCAGATCTGGGGCATCAGTGGCACCAGAACCTGAGCCTGGTGCTGTGATGGGAAGGAGCGCCTTTCTTGGCCAAGTGTCCCTGATCCCCTCAACCAGTAACTAGGGAAGGTGCAAACTGGGAGGAACACCTTTTCCCTGTTGTAAGTGGTGGCATGACTAGAGAGAGAAATGGGCACCCAGGAGGCCACCGGCTTGACCAGGCTCACCCAGCGGGTGACTGGAGGACAAGGCGGAAGTGAAGACCCAGTTTTTCCCCTCATCTCCCACTGTGACCTCTCAGGGCAGGCTGAGTGGCCTGCCACCTACCTAGGGCATGGTCTGGGACCGGGAATGGGGGACTGGGTGCAGGGGCAGGACTCAGCATGTGAACAGAATAGGGCTAATGTAGATTCCGTCCAGAACACAAGCGCTGTGAAGCGGCTAGAATTCCAGACCTGGCCTTGGAGCCCATGGGGGTGGGGCTGAGAGCAGGAGTAGGCATTGGGGACTGAAGCAGCAGCCTTTCCAAACCCCAGGGCCCCTACCTCCTTGGCATCTCTGGGAGCGAAAGCTCTTAGCCCTGTGTGGTTCTGAAGATGGGAGGCCACCTGAGAATGGTGGCAAGAGAACTTTAGAGGGAGGGAGGAGAGACTGGCTTCCCTTACAAATCTGCCATGACTGAGTCTGTGGTCCTGAGCGGGAACAATTCTTCCCTGGTGTCTGGGACACTGTTTCTCTTTATCATACCAAAGATCCTGGCATTGCCTGATTTCTCAGAATTCTCTGGGGTTCTATCCCAAGCAAGAGAGTGAGGTCTGTGTATGAAGTAGTGTAGTATGTTGGGATGGAGGAGGACCTAGATTCTGGAGGCATCCGACAGCAGCACTAGTCTGTAGCCACCAGGTGGGGCTGCTCTAGCGCCTGGCAGGACCAGATGGAGCTTTGAGAAACTGGCAAGAGCCAACCCAGGCCTGCTGAATTTGGCGTGGGGTAAGACTGCCCCCAAGTGGCCAGTGGGTGCTGTGCAGCCCAGCTGTGCTGGGGAGCAGGTAGCCAGACTTTGGCTGTGAAGAACTGGATCTGGTTCCTCTTGGAGTCCCCAGAAGGATCTTGGATCAGAGGCTCTGCTACAGCCCAGCCCAGGTCTCAGATACCTAAGAGACCCCAGCCCAGTTCTGGAGAATGGAGCCTTTCTTTGGCCTTAAGGCCCCTCCTAGGGCCTCACTCCTGATACTCAAGATATACCCCCACCCATCCACTGTCCTCCTGGGGTGAACAGTCCACCTTGCCAGTCAAGAGTGAGGCCCAGCTGCCCATATGGTGACCTCAGGCTCCCAAAGGAAGGGCATTCTGTGGCTTCAGCTCCCCTGGTTTCTGCTGCCTTCAGCCCTGAATGGCAGAGGGTCCTGCCTGGTAGTACCATGTTTCCTCATCCACAGCAGAGTGAAGCTTCTGTATTTCCCTGCTGCCCACCCTCTTTGCCTCCTCCTTTTCTCAAGGGGGGCACAGGCTGGGTGGGACTGGAGATCACAAGACAGGACAGTAAGGGGCTAGGGAATGAAGCCCCCAGGAGGGAGGGAGGCAGCTGCCAGAGGTGGGCTGCTGTGGGTTCTGGGCCCATCATGCAGCTTGGAGGAGGACAGACCTGGGTAGAATTCTCTGGTCTTCCACTTGTGTCTATGTGGCCTTCTCTGAGCCATTATCTTTCATGAGACTGTTGTAAGAATCCCGTGAAATCATAAATGTAAAGCATCTCCCACAGGGTCTGCCTTGTGAGAGATGCCCAATAAATGGTGCATTTTATTCTAATTATCATTACTATAGTTACTCTTACCCATTCAGGCCTGAGCTGTATCCTAGGCAGAGGACCACTTCCCTTTGGGGGTTGAGGTTGGTCTTTATCTCTTTGTGTTTATTTATTCAGGATTAATTACCATATTTATCACTTACTAATAAAGGGCATACTATGTACCAAACACAGCTAAGAGCTTATAGTTTCTCACTAAATCTTCATAGTACCCTTATAAAGCCAGTAATATTATCACCCCCATTTTACAGATGAGAAAACTGAGGCTTTGAGGTTAAGCAAGATCATATAGCCAATTGATGAGGGAGTCAGAATTCAAGCCCGGGTCTTTCTGACTGTCCTATGGTCTATCTCTGCCTTTATCCCAGACCCTCTTGGTCCCTCAATCCAGCCTCCATCCTTGCTTGACACCCCTATGCCCTGAACCCTGTTACCCAGCATGCTCAGGGCCCCCCTGAATTGGGAGCACTCACCCACCTGAGGGGGTGTCCGACGCAGGCTGTGGTCTTCTCTGACAGGCGATTTGTGCTGCCAGCTTCCAGCCGCCTGTCTCTGCACATTTGATGCTGTTTCTATTTTTTGATTTGAGTTTAATTATAAAGCATGCAGTCTGCTCCCCCCCTTCTAACCTCCCCCTGCCACTCCCAACTGGTCCACTAGTCTCACAGCAGGTCAGTGCCAAGCCCAGCCAGGCACCTCCCCCAAGCCTAGGCCTAGGCCTCAGCCCTGGCCCTGCTGGGAGCAGAAGCAGCTCAGCTGAGGTCTGTGTATCAGGAAGATGTGAGGTTTGTGTATCAGGATGACAGGGCAGGAAGGGGGAAGATCAAACCAACCATCTTAGAAGCTCCCTCTGGGGACTGGGGTTGTGATATCTGGAAGAGCACTTGCTTAGCACATATGAGGCCCCAGCACCACCAAAAAAAAGAAGGAAAAAATAAATAAAAGCTCCCTTGGCCTTCATGGTTAGTGTGGAGCAAGGGCCCAAAGTGAGAGCTGGTAGGACGTATGAGGAGGATGGAGAGTAGTCGGAAGCATGCGTCAGCTGGAGGCATCGCCAGCACTAGCAACCCTTAGGTGGGGGCTGGTGAGGATGGAACTGATTCAGGAGGCAGATCTGGCAGACTCGGGCTGAGGGTGGCAGCACTGGCAGACAGACAAGTGTAAGTGGGCTACAGAGCAGGTCTGTACACCAAACCTGTTCTGCTTTATCCAGAAACTGCTTCCACCCTTTGCCATCCTCTCCTTCCCTTGAAGACTATCCCTGGACTGCCTCGCTGTCCCAGAAGGTCTGTGAGATGGTCTTCAGGTCCCTCCCAAGACTGGTCAGTTAGAGACCTTGGATTTAGGCCTATTAGGAACTTTCCTTGTTATCCAGAGACCCTCATCATACACCCATACCTTGAAACTCATCCCCACTCCTGCTCCCAGATCCCCCCACACACACACACACACACATACACGGATCCTGTCAGTATTCCCTAAGCACGGGGAGAGATGGGGGAGGGGTGGCGGTGGCCCTCTTTCACTGCCTTCTCTCCAGGGAACTTGGGATCCCTGACCAAGCAATCTCAGGGCTTGGCTAACAAGGCAACCTACTCCCACCTGTGGGGACTGAAGCCAGTGACCGAGATGGGGTGAGGGATACAGGAGGAAGTAGACGGAGTGGCAGACTCGAGGATGGATCCCATGCTGGGCTCTTAGCATCTTCTTGGCATCCACATGGGCCACAGCCTCCAAAAGCACCAGCAGGGTCAGTGCCAGAGCTGCAAAGTGGCAGAGCCCTGTGGCAGGCAGTAAGGACAGGCTCTGCAGAGAGAGACATGCTTCATATTACAGGCAGATAAGCCAAGGTCCAGGCTGGCTGGGACTTGTTAGGACAGTGGCAAGGGCTGTCACCTAAACTGCTTCTGTCTTGAGACCTATGTGCAAGATCAAGTGGGTGTCGGTGAGAAGGGATGAGGTAGCCTTGGCATTCATGGTTTATGGAGAGAGAGGTCCTCCCTCTGCAGCCCCCTCACCCTCAGGGGCCCAAACCCCAGAGCTGCTAGTTACAGCTGCCAGGACTGTGCACTTCACAACTCCTAGGGGTTCCACTGACACATTTTGATAAATGGTACCTCTATAAGTTGTGCAGTGCTACAGCCCTGCTCAAACAGCTCCCCCAAACCAGCTGCCAGATGGGCAGGATGCTGAATTAGCGGTCAGGGTTTCTAAGTATCCTGAGAAAGTGGGGTGATTGGGCATGATCAGAAATCTGCTGATCTTCCAGGTTCTTAAATCCTGTCTGAGGAGAGAGCAGGCTGGGACATGCCATTCCCAAGGGCTCATATCCCCTTTTGGCTTCCCAGTCCACAGGATGTCATGGGGGAGGAGAAGGACCGATCAGCTTGGTTGTGCATCTGCTTTGATGGGATTTGATGAGTCACCATTCAAGGCAGGACAAGACAGGCTGGAGCAGGTAGGAAGGCCTCACCTCTTCCATGTAATGCTTACTACCACCTTCTTTCCTTGTCTTTCTCCACTTTCTGGGGTCTGAAGAATTGGGGTGAACTGAGGATGACAGGGCAGGGGTCCTATAGGAGGACTACCTGCCTGGCTCCAGTGAGACCTTGAATTGGCAAGAAGAGCCCTGAGGCGTGGGGAGCATGGCAGGCCCCCTACCACCATTTCCAGCCACACATAGCCCTGTATTCTTTGCCCAGGCCCTTACGTGATTTCTCATTGCCAATGGCACCTGTGTCTTCATGACTGTGTCCTCCATACCTGGCTTCTTAGCTCCGGCTTGTACCCCGCAGTTTCTTGTCCAGCTGGCAGAGCTGATGGAGGAAGCCGCGGTTGGGGAAGATCCACCGGTGTTCCCTCACAGTGATCACTGCCTGACGCAGGGATAGCTGCTGGTGCAGCATGAGGTAGGCCAGGACCAGTGTGGCAGAGCGGCTCACACCCACCACACAGTGCACGAGGACTTTGGCTGAGGGAGACATCCTGGTAAAAGACCCTTTCCCACCAGCCATCCCATCCAGGCCTGGGGTGGAGACCCTTGTTCCATTCCCTACCCTGCCTTGGGTGCACTCTGGAACCCCAGGCAAGTCACTCAGCCATCATGGATCTCAGTTTCAAATGATTTTCATTTGAAATGATATTTCAAATGAGTAACAACACCTATTTGGCCTATCCTTGGAATGCAGTCCAAATCCTTAACATGACTTACAAGACCATCTGAGAGCTGGCCCTTCCTGACAACTGCAGCCTTATCTCAAGATGAACCTATCCCAACCCTCATCTCTAGGAACACAGGGTAAGGAACACAGTTCCTTGAAACTGTCATGGTCTCTGACTCCAGCCTTAAGCATGTGTCGTTCCTACTATTTTGAAAAATGTTCCTGTTGATCTTGGCCTGACTAACTTCTACTATTCATTCATCAAGTTTCAGCTGATACATGGTTTCCTTCCAAGGGCTTTCCTGATCACTCAAGGTATTGCTTGAATCATAGAGCAGCTCATCACTTCTGCATGTGGCCCAATGAATGTCCTTGTAAAGGGAAGTCCCCCACCTCCCTGGTCCTCTGGGATGGCCTCCCCTGCCCTGTGTTCCCATAGCACTTCACATTTGCCCTCCCACATCGGTAGCACTCACAATACTTCACCCTTTGACTGGCAGGTTTCATGAGGGGAGGGACCCTGCCTTGTTCAAGTCTGAATTCCCTGAATTTAGTTTAGCATCTGACACATAGAAGATATTCAATAAATAGCCGATGAATGAATAACAAAAGAATGTCAGAGTGCCTTGGGCATTTTAAAAAGAGTGATATGAGCTGTTGTTTTGTCATTCCCATCACATGGATGAAGAAACTGAAGTCTAGAGAGGGACACTGGCCTGCCCAGTGTCATATAGCAGGAGGCACAGCTGTCGTTCAGGATGAACACAAAGCAGGAGCTCCTGCCTCTCCAGGCTTCTTTATTGTAACCTATGCCTGTCCCACCCCGACCCCAAATACACACATTTGAAAGTACTTTAGGGCAGACACATAAGGTACCAAATTTTCCCAAGGCTAATTGTTGTAGAGAAAGAATCATTCTGCTGTTTGTGAGACCTGGATTCCGGCCCGAGAGCTCCTTTGAACTCAAGGCATGGCCTTCAATTTTGGCCTCAGTTTCCCCATATGTGAAGCAATGGTTTCAGGTAAAATGTTGGAGCACTAAATGGAAGATTTCTAAAAACCAGGGATGGGAGCATACTGATGATTGAGGGGAAATGGGCATCCTTCCCTTGAATGAGCAGGGTGGGATATGGGTTCTGGCCCCAAGTCCTACCCCCAGGTGTGCTGAGGGCACGGTGGATGAAGTCAGCTGCAGAGGAGAAGTAGGTGCTGATGTCAAAATCAGGGAGGTCGTGGGCTGGTACCCCCAGGTAGCTCACACTGCTGCCGTAGAAATCAGGGCTGCCCTGACAGTAGAGGCCCCCATGGGCGGCGTTCAGCACGTGGGTGATGCCCAACTTCCACAGCTCAAAGCGGTTATTTGCCGTGGCCCTGAGGAAGGGGGGGAGCAGGAAGGGGGCTGGATGCTGGCTGAGCTGTGGGGTCCAAGAAGGAGGCTTTGCATGGCTCCCTGTATCAAAGGATGAAACCCTAAGTGTTCAAAGGGAACTAGAGCCCAGCCAGCCCCAGCTAGGGTCTGCTGCCCATGCCCCACCCCCAGAGCTTTCTGGTGGGAGAGTTGGTAGTGTAGGGTTATCTTTAGAACCTCTTGGCTTCCTCAGGCAATCTGCCCTTGGGCAGGGTAGGAAAGAAGGGATTGCTTTAGCCCTTCCTCTCCCTTCTTGCCCCACATCCTCCCACATACATCCGGTTTCTCTTGGTCATCGGTTTATACCTGCCTCTAATCTGCAAATGTCTAGAGGTGACACCTTCCCTGATTCACCCTCAGTCAGATTTCTCCACCCACTCTATGTCCAGAAGAAGGAGGCTGGAATCAGAAAGGGGGATCTCTAACTACCCCATGTCATACCCCATATACTTTCCCCCAGTCCTCTGGCCAATTGTCCTGGATGTGCCAGAAGACTCCAGGACTTCTGGGAAGTGCCCGTTTTGCAGGTAGGAAAAAAAAAAAACATGCTCCCCCTGGTGGCCATATCTAGTCACTGCATTGTCCCAGCAGGTGGGAGTCCTGGAGAAAGTCCCTGGCTTCGGGTGCTAAGAACAGAACTTTCCCCCTTATTTCCACACACACACCCATGTAAGGTAAACTGCTTCTCCTTGTCACCACCCTCACACCCCTCTACCAGTGACCACTCACGCATCTCCTATGAAAAGATTGGGCCAAACTTCATCCACACGGCTGCAAGAGGCCTTCCCTGCCCTCAGGAGCTCCTCTAGCTCCAGGACACTAGGGCAAGGCGTGGCTTCGGCATCTCCCTCCAGCTCTGGGAGCAAGGCCTCAGCCATGGGCCAGCCTGCCTACCCCTCTGCCTCTATGGTCACTCCTCTGCTTCTCCAGTGTCATTTCTCCTTCCCAGAGATTGGCAGGAACAGGTGGGACGGGAGTAAGTGACTCAGCAAGTCCCAGAGGCCTGTTTCTCCCAAGCCAGGCCCCACCCCCACACTCTTGAGAACATGGAATCAGATAGACCCCTGCAAATCACTATCTCCCTTAACCTCAGTTTCTTCATCTGTAAAATAAGGATAATCACATCTTTTATTGTTCCAAAGGTTACATGAAACAAAGGTTGTGCTATTTCTAACACATTGTAGATGCTTAGAAACAGTTTTTTAATTAATAGGTTTAGAGCCCTGCATAAGGCTTATTATTATTATTATTATTATTATTATTATTATTATTTGGTATGGGGGATTGAACTCAGGAACACTCCACTGCTGAGCCACATCCCCAGCTCTGTTTTGTATTCTATTTACAGACAGGGTCTCACTGAGTTGCTTTTTGATGGGCTGGGTTTGAACTCACCATCCTCCTGCCTCAGCCACCCGAGCCGCTGGGATTATAGGTATGCACCACTGCGCCTGGCCAATAAGTCTAATTTGGTTCTGAGGACTAAGTTAAGACAGGTTGGAGAGAAGGTGGTTGGTTCTAAGGATGAATGATAGAAGAAACTTTGTAGGTCTGGGAGGGCCACAAACTAGGTGGGACCTGAATGTTGGATGGGCCTCTGGATTGTGGAGCTCATAGTTTTCTGAGTTGTAGTTTCAAGAGAAATGTGGGGAGGAGACATGGAGTACAGCATCAAAAGGGTACCCACAAGGTTTACAGGAGGTTTGAACAACAGTCCTGTAATGAAAATGGCCAGTTTTCTTCAAAAAAAGGTTGAAGGGGCCTTGTATATCAAAGAAAGAGAAGTGAACATTGCTCTAGACTTTAAGAGCCAAAGGGGCCTGTCATCAGAAACATTTTGAGGGTAGGAGGGAGAGTCTAATGCCTATCAGGGCTTTCAGCCCCAGGATAGAAACTGATAAAAGGTTGAGCAGGTTATCTGCAAAAACTGTGTAAGGATGGCCTTAGCCCTGAGTCTAAGCAACTCCATTTTAAAACTCCTTTTGAAACCTGCAGGCTCACCAGGTACACCTGCGGAGCCTTCCAGTATGGCCCTCAAGCACAAACAAGTCACTTCTCCCCACCCTGATAAGCTCATAGTGAAGTCTCTGTCATGTTGTCCTCACCCCAATAAGGAGGAAAGGCAAGAAAATCAGGGTGGGGACCACCAGACCAGATGCTTTAACCCCAGGGCAAATGACATCACTGAGAAATCCGGTGGCAGCTGATAGGGATTGAAAGGGTGGTCACAAGCCCCAAAATTTAGTATGGAGCAAATGAACAGACATTCAGCTAGCTGACATTGAGCCCTCACGCTGGAGAGCCTGATGAGGATCTGGACTGACATCCCAACTCTTCTTCTCATTTGTCTGATCCTCTGCAACTTCCTCACCTTTCAAACTCTACAGCCACATCTTGAACCTGGTGAGAGCCACCACTTCCCCCTACCACACTCTCCTCAACCGGCCATCAGCTCCACCCCAGGAGAAGCCTGCCTTGGTTCCTGATCTGATAACCATGTCTGAATGAGTGTGCATCTGCTGGACTTAGAGCTCAAGGCTTGAAACTTTTGATCTGACACCTGAACTTAGCATGCAGAGGGAATATCTGTCATGAGCCTGTCATGATTAAGTGTGTTTTCAGTGCTTAGAATTAAATTAGAATTGTTTGCTGTGAATTGATTATGTCTATTGCAGTGCCTAGCATTAAGGATTGTCATTTTCTTGATTAAGAACCTATAGAGTGAAATTGTATTGAGTGATTTGAGTGAATAAAGCATTGAAAAGGGCAGAAGCGTGTGGACATTCTTTATTTCTCACCCCTCAACTGCATAAGTCATACCTTTTGCCCATCTCGACAAGCTGCCAGAGCTGGTTGTTGGCAAAAGAGAGGAGATGTCTTGCCCTGATGGGTCTGGGAGAGGTATGAGCTCTGTTGGACATGTTCCCAGCTGCTCCTGGTCTTGAGTCCGACTTGAGGGTAAAGACAATTCCAGGGAATACCCTGGAAACAGTCTGCACTCCTGTCCACCCAAAGCATGCTCCCATCCCATTCAGTGTCAGAAAAACTGGTCTGGTACTGTATGGGGAGACAAGGCCACAAAGGGTCTGGAACCCAGGCAGCTGGCTTTAAATTTGGTTTCTGCCAACGCTAGGGCTAGGTTGGGGGGTGGGGTGGGGGGCTTCTCTTAGGGTGGAGTAGCATTGTAGAATGAGAATTTGGGTTGGAATGTAGATTTAGATAAAATACCAGTTTGGGCACAGATTTACTGTGATATTCAAGCAATGATTTTGGCCTTTCTGTGTTGTATGATCTACTTTGTAGAGCTGAAACGAGGATTGAGATATTTATATGGCATTTGGCATAGACATTGTCAGTGAATAAAAGGGGTCTGCGATAGCCATGATCATTGGGGGTTAGCTCTTGAAAAGGAGCTGGTCTTCTGCAAAGGAATCAGGATAACTTCCTCCGGATCCCCATCTCCGTTTACCAATCCCATGGGTTCCTCCCTTAATGTACACCAGCCCTCTTTGGCGGCGGGCCTGACGCATGCGCTCTCAGGCTCCCCTGCAGCGTTTTCCCTTCTTCTCTCCGGTGGGCTGGAATCTCGCGTCCCTTCCGGCCTTGGCCACGCCCCTTCTCCGGTAATGCTCCGCCTCCTGCCGGTAGTGCTCCGCCTCCCGAAGCAGTTCCGGTTCGGCACGGAGCAGCTGCCGGAGCGGCGGTGACGGAGCCGGAGCGATGCCTGCGCGCAGCCGCCACCGCTCCCGCTTCCACTCCGGCTCTCCGCCCCGGGTTCCGCCCCCGCCGCTTGAAGTGCTCCACTCCGGCGAGGCGCGAAGGGCCCGGGACTCCGACGGCGCCTCGGACGCCGACTCGGAGGCGGGTCGGGGAAGCCCGACTCCCATCGCGGAGGTGAGCGGGCGCTGAGGCTGAGGAGAGGGGAGACTGGGGGGCGCCTGCAGCCAAGGGTGAGTGAGGAGTCTGGGGTGGAGCCGGGGGCGTCGAGGGGCAGGGAGCCCGAGGGACCGAGGGGAGACGGTTGAGGGGGCCAAGAGAGTCCGCTCTAGAATGGAATCTGGAGGGAATGGAGGTTGTTGAGCCGTCGGCCTGAAGGGGTGACGACGCCGGTGGCCGAGGGGCCGGTAGAGGCTGAGGCGCGAGAAGGACTGGAGGACGCGGAGAGGCTAGGGCTTGGAGCTGTTGAGAGCAGAGCACTGATGGAAGGAGTCCCCGGGAATGTGCACCCGGAGGAGGAGATGCTCAGGGCTTTGGTAGTGGGGAGAAGGGATCTCAGAAGCAGGCCTGGCCCGGGATTAACCCAAGAGCGAGGAAGAGGGAACCGTGTTGGAGTGATAGCCGACTGACCGGGGTGGGGACGGAGGTTTTGGAGGGCAGGAGTTAGGTTTGAGTGGAAGAGGCTATTGGATGGAAAGTCGTCTGGCCCAAAGGGTTGAGAGAAGGATTGAAAAGGGAGAAGTGTGGTCAAGAAAAAAAAGGAGCCCTTGGGGATCTAATTTAGGACTTTGGCATTTTTACAAGTAGGTGTCTTTCAAGGCATCAAAGATCACTCGGGCAGTGTACTTGGATCATAGTGCTTTCTTTGTGGACAGTGGATCCTTTTAACAATCTGGATTGGTAGTTCACCGATTTGTCTGCAGGGCTGGGGGAAGTAGTGCAAAGGAAGTGATGTTTTAAGACTGAAAGGAGTAATTCTGAAATTAAAGGTATCATTTGGATTTCTTTTAACCGTAATGATGTACTTCTCTTTTTCTTTGTATTTCTTAAATAAATTTAAATACCAGACAAGTTTAAATCCTAAAAAAAAAAATTTAATACATTAACTTTAAATTTTGAAAATTTAAACGTGAAAGAGGAATTTGGGTGTTTTGATTTTACAGTCCCTCAGTGTGAGTTGGTAACATTTTCCCAGTTTGGGGTGACACACGTTTTTGCTACAGGTTAAAAATATGGTCAATTTAAGTATCTGGGTTAAGAAGGCACATAAAACTAGAAGTAAAATCATCATAGCCCCTGAGCCTACCAGATTTTCCTCTTGAAGATTACTTTTGACAGATTTGAAGGATTAATATTCTACTACCATTTTGCAGATATTGTATGAATAATATTTCAATAGAGTAATCTAGGAAAATTAAAAAGCGAATTCTTGAGGTTGGCAGCTAATATCACTGGGATAGGTGGCATATATGCTTTTTATAGAAGATGTAGTATCAAAACCATAATTTAAAAAATCAGAAAATTCTTGTAAAATTTATATTCACTGTGGAAGAAATAAATTAATTTCCTTTTCTAATTATTAAATTATAATGTGACTCCATGGGATCTTAGTTGGATTTTAGCTACGTGTCTCATGTAATGTTTTAAAACTTTTTATCTGATTAAAGATTTTGCAAGTTGTTGGCCAGTTTGAACTTTTTAAAAAGTATTTTCTGCTCTAAACAAGTATTTGCTGTCTAATCATCATAGGATGACAATTTACCGATTGCAACAAGCCTTTGAATTAGTTTTGTATAGACTGTATATCTTACCTTCAAATGCTCAGTGGAACAATAATTATTTCTTCAAAGGAGAAGCAAATTCTTAGGTTTGCTTTTAACTAAGGTTGTTAAAAGATTAACTTCATAAAATATTGTTAGTGAATGCTGCATTCATTTTTTAAATTTAAAGTTTTCTGTAGCTTTGATTCTTTTTGGACATCAAACTGACTTATATGAGAAAGAAATACAATTCCATATTCTGTTAAGTTACCTGTGAAAGCTCTTTTGAAAGATTGTGGTATTTGTTAAATAAGTGGATTAAGATTATTAAAGGCAACTATATTCTTTCATATCCAGTTTAAATGTCTTACTTTTTTGCAGAGATTTGGGGAAGGAAAATCTGTTTTTGTTTTTGTTTTTGTTTTTTTTAAAGAGAGAGGAGAGAGAGAGAGAGAATTTTTAATATTTATTTTTTAGTTCTCGGTGGACACAACATCTTTGTTGGTATGTGGTGCTGAGGATCGAACCCAGGCCACACGCATGCCAGGCGAGCGCGCTACCGCTTGAGCCACATCCCCAGCCCTTTGTTTTTGTCTTTTAACTTTCTTATGTGTTTTATTGTTTACAAATAAGGTATTACTTGTTTTACATATACTCTTATCCTTTATTTTTTGCTTGCATGTGTTTTGGGAATCCTTTTGGAACCTGGCATTTGTTTTTGTTTTTCTCTAAAGATCTGATGTAACTCAGTAGAGGGGTGTAATAGTAGGAAAAGAACAGAAAGAACCACTTGATTATGAGTATCATGACGGTGATTCTTAACTTTAGGGCTTGTGGTTCTTGAAAAATCAAGAACTTAACTAAAAACAGGGGAGCATGGACAGGGCACACATGGAGAAGATCCTTTACTTCCTCTTGACTATTCATCACCTATTTTTTTCTTTTCCTTTTTCTGTGTTAGGGATTGAATCTTGGGCCTTGAGCCATCACCAAATTTTAAGCTGAAATATCTAGCTGTTTAGAGATTTTATGCTTCCATATTGAAATGATATGTGGCTTCACTATACACTGAGCCTTTCCAGCAATATAATCATTTCAATACTGAATATAATATAATGTGAGTCTATTAACAAGAAAATTTGGTTATAATAATTTTACCACAGTGTTTGATAATAAAATAGTGCTTTATGTGTATCTCAAGAATGATGTTGTGGGAGTGGTGAGTTTTATTGTATTTGTCTTAAATTTTTATTGTGGGTTGTGGGTTTAGCTAAGCTTTTGACTTGTGGCAGAGGACAAGAGACACATAGAAACATAAGTATTATCTTGATACTTTTTCTGTTCTTTTGAAATTCTTTTGTTTTTTGGGGGGATACTGGAGATTGAACTCAGGGCACTTGACCACTGAGACACTCCCCAGCCCTATTTTGTATTTGATTTTTAAAGACAGGGTCTCACTGAGTTGCATAGCACCTCGCCCTTTCTGAGGCTGGCTTTGAACTCTCAATCTTTCTATCTCTGCCTTCCTAGCCATTGAGATTATAGACATGAGCCACTGCGCTGAAATTCTTGAAGAAATTCTCATAGGTGAGAACCATGGATTCTTCTAAGTTAGAATCTTTGAGTTAAACTGTGTTACTGTTTTACTGCAAATCATTTTAGCTTGGAACTTTGAGACTAAATTAAATTGATGTTAGTTTCATCAATGTAATAATGGCATGAAGCAGAGATTGCCAAAACTGTACATTAAAATTTGAGTCCAAATTCAATAAGTTTTCGTAGTATGTAATAGAGTATGAAATCTTGAGCCAGTATCTCATTTTCCATTATGCTGATTAGATTTGGGATGAAGCATATTTACTTATTTTTGGAGGTGCTGGGGATAAAACCCAGAACTTTGTGCATGTTAGGCAAATGCTTTATCACTGAGCTTCACTCTCAGCTCCTGTGTAGCATATTTTTTAAAAATTTTTACCTATTTAATAGTTTTTTGTTGTTGTAGATGGCACACTACCTTTATTTTATTTATTTTATGTGGTTCTGAGGATTGAACCAAGTGCCTCAGACATGTGAGGCAAGTGCTCCACCACTTAGCCACAACCCCAGCCCAGTGTAGCATATTTTAAAAGTAAAAATTGTATTGGTTAATATGTCCAACTGCTAGTCTGCCCAATTATTTTTATACTGTTTAGGGTAAGATTTAGAATGTTATATACTTAGCTTCTTTACTAGTATGCTATGTGCCAGGTCAGGAACCCTTCACTAAATTTACCACTAAATTGGATTGTAGGGTAAAAAATTTTTGTATGATCAAAGAAATAAAGTGGACAGTGATATCTGTTAGATTCTTATTTACTAAGCTCAGTCAGTTCTGGATGTGATATAGAAATAGGTGCAACCTGATAGGTAAAGTCTTGGTTTAAAAGTTGGAGCCAGGAAAAAAAGTGTGTTCTTTGATATACCCAACAATTTTTGAGTGTAGTATATAAAAGTGCATGGTCAGGGAAGTAAAAAAAATGTCTCTGAGCCAGGCATGGTGCTGCAGGCCTGAATCCCAGTGGCTTGGGAGGCTGAGGCAGGAGGATCAGAAGTTCAAAGCCTGCTTCAGCAACTAAGCAAGGCCCTAACAACTTAGGGAGACCCCATCTCAAAATAAAAAAGGGCTGGGGCTTAAGCACCCCTGGTTCAATCACTGGTACCAAAAAAAAAAAAAAGACATCAGTATTTCATGTCTTTTATTTAGTATGTATAGGCATATGTGAGTTAATAATTGATGTAATTCATATCTATTTAAAGTGATGTGTTTGGAACAGTGAGAAATAATATTGTTTTCATTTTCTCCCTCCCCCACCGCCTCTCTGGGCAGTACTGGGGATTGAACCCAGAGGCAGTCTGTCACTGAGCTACATGTCTAGCCTCTTTTTAAATTTTGAGAAAGAATCTTACTGAATTACTAAGACTGGCCTTGAATTTGTGACTTTTCTGTTTTAGCCTCTTGAGTAACAGGGATTACAGGCATGTGTCACTGTGCCTGTCTTGTTTTTATTTTCTTAAAAGTTATTTTTCAGGCTGGGGTTGTGGCTCAGTGGTAGAGTGTTTGCCTAGCACGGGTGAGGCACTGGGTTCGATCCTCAGCACCACATAAGAAAATGAATAAATAAAATAAAAGTTATTTTATTTATTTATTTAAAAAAGTTATTTTTCGGGCTGGGGATTTGGCTCAAGCGGTAATGCACTCGCCTGGCATGCGTGTGACCCAGGTTCGATCCTTAGCACCACATACAAGCAAAGATGTTGCGTCCACCGAAAACTAAAAAATAAATATTAAAAACAAAACAAAAAAAAAGTTATTTTTCTTCTGATTACCAAGTATACCATGCTTATTGTATAAAATATAGAAATTCTAGAAATAATGTA